CAGGGAGGGGCGGCCCTGGCGTCCCTGGAGAGCAGAGCTAACCCGTGGCACATAATCCTGTTAAAATATTAATCCTCATTTAGCCGGGAGGCGAGGCACCACTGAGATAAAGCCCCTGAGAAGTGATAAAGGCACCGCAGTTGATACAGCAGAGCGTCCCACTAATAAAACCCTGCCGTGGCGAAGGTCGGGCTGGCCCAGAATCACAGGCCACAGCAGCCATCTGCCTTACAAGCGCTGGCCGAGGGGCAGTGCTGACAGTGGGCGTCTGCTGGTGCAGGGTGGGCACCTCAGTCGCTGCAGAAGAGAGGCTGGCCCCTCACCCACCTGCCACCCACAGCCCTGGGCTGCAGTGGGCCGTGGCCCTCACCTCCAGACACCGCCGTCAGCTCATAGCCGGAGTGCCAGCCAGGCCCCAGAGCAGACCTGCAGCCGTCCCCCAGACTCTTGTCCCAGGGCGTGTGGATGAAGCCTCCCAAGAGGGCCCAGGGAGTGACCACTGCAGCCTGGACCTGTCTGGGAAGACTGTGGCCATGTCCCTGCCCTGTGGGCACCTCCAAGCCGGCCAGACAGCACAGCCAGGCTCCTTGCTGTCAATGTCCCCAAAAGCAGGCCATGCCAGCATGATACCCCCAGGGACACGCCCTGGGAATCAGGGAAAGCCATCAGACCCAACCGTGCCACTCGTCACCAAGGGGAACTTGGGAGTGGACTTGATGGCTCCAGGACTCTAACACAGGGGATGGGTCTGCTCCCCTCCCCCAGGTCTAGGAGCACCAGTCCACTGCACCCTGGCCAGAGAAGGCGAGTTCCACGAGGACACCACCCACCCACTGCACCTCCACCAAGGAGGACAGGAGAGGCCACTGTGCGCCAGGCCCTGGGACAGGAGCTGAGCCGTGCCTCTCACACCTCCTGGGGAGACCCGGGGCCAAGCGCATCACACCAGGCCACCCGTGAGAACAGGTGCTATATGCTCACTGACCCACAGGGGCACTGCCCCGTCTACGCCTTGGCCACCAGCACAGACCAAGCGCAGGCCCAGGCAGGGCCATTTCAGACCCAGACGTGGTTCTCTGGAGCCTGAGCCCCACGCACGACTCAGCCACGTGGGGCAGTCTCCACCGGTACAGATGTCCATCGACCCAGCCCCCAGGCCAAGGAGGACCCAGGCAGCAGGAACCCCAAGCAGTGACCACACACATGCTGATCCGTCCTCAGGGAGGAGCCCTCTGCACCCAGAGCTGCACACGGTCCCGCGTCCCCAAGCTCGGGCCACCTGACAGCTGGGGAGCCCCCACCCAGGACAGCTGGGTCAATGACCTCAAACCGTTCCCACCACTCACTGGCAAGGAGCAACCCTGGGCCCAGATCCTAAATAAGAGACTTGCCTGGACCCAGGACAGAGGCCAGGGAACTGCAGGGAGGACCTTGTGGTGTCAGAGCCAGAAAGTGTGACATACGCACACCACAGAGACACATCCATGTGTGCACACACAGGGCACGCCCACACACGTGCACACACACATGCCACACGCATATACACACGCCACACGCATATACACACAGTGGCAATATGTGAAACAGACATGGGAGCCCACTCACAGCCCTCGCGATGGCCAAAGCTGGAGCAACGTAAATCACGAAATAGACGAAGTGGCCCTGGTCACAACCCAAGGTCTAGGAGAGGCCTGCGAGTCACGCTGACCAATTAAACGGCTGGAAGTGGGCCTGGGGGAATCCCCAGCAGAACCCCAGATAAATTAGGGAGGTCCTGCATCATGGAGGTGCAGAACACCCCGCTCCTGGAGTGTGGGCGCCCATCACCACCTTCTTCCAGTGAGCCCACTGTGCGGGGCGGGGGAGTGGGAGCAGCAGCAGTCTGAGACCTACTGACTCGGCCAGGCATCCAGGTGACGCCCCAAGAGACAGGTCCTGAGGGTGGGGTGTCCTCAGTGTGATGCGAGGAGAAGGCACTTGTCCCCGAGTCTTTCTCCCCAAACCCCACAGCCTCGGTCCAACCATGGGAGGAACCCCAGAGGGAGCCCAACCAGAGGACCCCCTACAAAACCCCTGCCCAGTGCCCCGCAGAACCGCCAGATCCTCCAAGACGAGGGGCGTCTCAACAATGGCCACATCCAGAGGGGCCCATGGAGGCCTGAGAACCAGCCGTCATGTGGGTTCCTGGGTGGGATCAGGATCAGGAAGGAGCATGAGGTCAAAATAGGAGCATGGCCTGGGTTCACAGTGAGTCCCACGGGGCTCGGCGCTCGCCACCCCAGCCGTGTGGGCGCCGAGCGGGGCCGGGGTGCAGGGAGCAGCTCCCTCACACTGCCTCTGCCTCAAACTGTTGAGAAACAAAAAGTTCCATCACGGCGTGGATCTGGGGGTCCCCCAAACGCTCCCGTGTCGAAAGCACAGTCTGGATGCAGCTGCGTTCAGGGGGGGCCCTTGGGAGGCGACTGGGGGGTGGCAGAGGATTCCTGCTGCAGGCGGACCGGGTAGGAAGGGACCCTTGTGGGGGCCACGGGAGGAGGACTCTGAGCAGAGAGCTACCAACAGGGCAGTCAGATGGGATTCTCAGACATTTCACTAAGTTGAGACAGCAAGACTTTCCCTAAACTTGGACTAAATAGGCCAAGGACAGAGGCCAAGGTCAGGCCTTGACACAGAAGAGCCTGATGGAGCCAGCTCAAGGTCAGTCTGTGTATCTAACATCCCGATGACAACGCAGCCTTCACATCCCTGTCCAACAGCCCCTCTCTAGGCAGTGCACCCCAAGGAAGCCGTGCAATGGAGAGGAGAAAGGGAACCGGGGTGGGGGGACCCAGCGTGCGTGACCACCATGGCTGCACTGTTTCTTAAAGAAGCCAAAAGCCCCCGGGGTCTGAAATGGGATCCTATGAACAAAGGCTGGTAAACTGGGGGCGTGCAGACATGGTTAAAAGAGGGGCTCTGGAGACAGAACGTCAGCCCCTCCACTCACCAAGCCACCTCCCTCTACCCCAGCTTCCTACCTGTAAAGCAAGGCTGTTCCTAAGTTCTGCCTCCAAGACCACCTCGGAGCTTGATGAGACCCTGGATACAGCCCAGTGCCGGGATATGGGAAACGCCTCTACCCACCACTAGAACCAACCATCGCACACCCATGAGGTTAGGAAGGGAAGCCTATGGGCCAAGGAGCTCCCGTGGCAACCCGTGAATGAGCAGAGAGCCAAGAACAGGTGGAGCAGCCCAGGCCTGGCTGAGACTCCTGGGACTATCAGGAGCAGGTCTCCAGAGCCATCTCCAGCAGGCCGGAGAAGGTGAGGTCACAGAACTGTCAAAACCTGGGCAGGAGTCAGTCAGAGAAAATGCAGAGAACTCAGTCCACCGGCCACCAAGGCCAGCGCCAGCCCCAGCACATCCACTCCTGTCCAGGCAGCCAGCCCTGACCAGGCCCTGGACTGCGGGCCAGCTCCTGACTCACCTGCCTCCCGCCCCCTCCTGGCAGCTGAACCCCAGGACCCAGGCCTAGGGCTCTCTCAGCTAAGAGGAGGTCCCCTGAGAGCGACTGCCAGCCCAAATCATGGAGAAGTGGGCTTAATTCCCCCTGGGAGGATGCAGCCTGGGGCTGAGCAGCCCTGGGCCAGCTGGCAGGGCCACTGCCCAGGACACCTTGGGGGACCAGGCTCTTTAGGCTAGTTCCCACCATCCCAGGAGCTCTGGGTCCTTGGTGCTGGAGGCACCAGAGGCAAGAATCAGCAAAGGAAAGTGAAGTTGCACCCTAGCCAGGGGCTGGGAGCCCCCACATGATTGCTTCTACCATCCCATTGGCCAGGACCTAGTCACATGGCTAAGCCTCACTGCACAGAATGCTGGGAAATGGAGTCTTCCTTCTCAGCAGCCATCTTGCCACAGAAGAACAGATACTAGGGATGACTCCCCTGCCCAGCCCAGCATACACCCAGAGCCCTCCACAGCCCACAGGACCGCCCGGCCCACCTCCCAGCTCCAGTACTCCCTCTCCTCCACGTGTGTCCCTCTCCCAGGAAGCCTTCCTACCCTCTTCCTCCCAGTCCAGTCCATCCGATAAGTAGCTCTCATGCAAATCCCAGGTGAGCAGAGGGGCCTTCTGAGTTCTCACCCCAGCGCTCATTAACGGGAAGCCCCTTCCCTCTCCCAGAGCCGCCTGCAGTTCTGCTGTGGCAGTGTCCCCTGCACTGGGAGTCTGTGCAATGCAGGGGGCCAGTCTCTGTGGCTGTCCTGCGCCTCAGCCCCGAGTTGGCCTCTCATGGTGGTCACCAACCTGTGCTGTGGTTCCCAGCCTTCAGCACGCACCGGCTTCACCAAGGCTGGTGGCACGGAAGCCTCCCCAGAAAGTGTGCTTCCTGGGCCTGGGGAGGGAGGGTCCAGACGCCCACCCCGTGGGCCTGACCAGGGAACACGGCTGCGCCTCGGCGGGAGCTGCTGATGCTGTGAGGGCACACAGAGGTGGCATCGCTCTGTGGCAGTGTCTGCTAGCTGTAGCAGAACTCAGGGGGCAGTGGGCCGCTGTGGCCGGTTTGCTGTTCAACAAGACTGAGAGGGCGGCTCACTCCCACGCAGCCAGCAGCAAGTACTTCATCAAAACCTCCAGAATCCACCTCCAGTCCAGCCACATCCCCGCTCCCACAGCCACCGCCCGGCCCAGGCCACCACCATGTGGACAAAGAGGACAGAGGAAGGGGCCAGGCTGGAGGTCCCTAGGGATGAGGCAGGCCTTGGGCTGGGTCCTGGCCCAGGCCCATGAAGCCCACCCACAGGCTCTCTCCAGGTAAACTGTTGGCTGGAGAGGGAGTCCATCTTGCCCCCGTGTCCTCTGGGTCAGAGTAAGCCAGGAGTTGCTGAGGGCTGGGGTCTGTGTAGGACCCCGCCCACCCTGGGGCACAGGGAGGGAGCAGCAAGGACCTGGGGCCCTGTTGGGAGGAGGGGGATGCTCAGGTGCCCAGCAGCCCACACTGAGAGGCGTCCACTCAGGGCCCAGAGCGTTCCTGCATCCAGGTCTCTGCGCCCGCCCATCGCTGAAGAAGCCTGAGATAAGACGGCCCAGCTGACCCCGGGACTTTGCCCTCCTGGGCCTGAGACACCCTGCACCTGTCCCTCTGGAGAGCCGTCATGAGAGCCTCAGCCACCCTCCTCGCTGGGGCTCTGGCCACCCTGCTGGCTCCAGGGGCTGGGGTGCCCGTCCCAAGACAGAACCGCCAGAACAAGCTGCTGCTCGTGTCCTTCGACGGCTTCCGCTGGAACTACGACCTGGACGTGGAGACCCCCAACCTGGACGCCATGGCTCGGGACGGGGTGAAAGCTCGCTACATGACCCCGGCTTTCGTCACCCAGACCAGCCCCTGCCACTTCACGCTGGTCACTGGTGAGTGCTGACCTTGGCCGGGCCTGGGGGCAGGCAGGGCCTGAGACACCAGGTGAGTGGGCACAGCCCTGCCCAGGCACCACGCACGCCAAAGCGAGAAACTTGCTGCAGAGGGGGTCCCCGCATGGTCCTCCCCATTGGTGGCAACTGACCAAGGGCAAATAAAGCTCCCGGGGAGCTTGCTCAGCAGAGACCCCATCCCATCTGAGTGGCGAGCAGCAGGGCTCAGGGGAGGCAAGTGCAGGATGCGCCAGGCTCTCTCCCGGGCTCACCTCCGCGCCCTGCCGCCTCCTCCTCCCTCAGGCAAATACATCGAGAACCACGGGGTCGTCCACAACATGTTCTACAACTTCACCACCAAGGTGAAGCTGCCCTACCACGCCACCCTCGGCATCCAGAGCTGGTGGGACAATGGCAGTGTGCCCATCTGGATCACAGCCCAGAGGCAGGTAACGTGGCCCTGCCCGCACAGACGCCAGAGGGGACGGGGAGCTGGCCTGCAAGGCTGTGAGAGTGGGAGACCCCCAGCCTGTGGCCTGCCGGGAGTCCGGCTCTGGTGAGAGCTGAGTAGCTGGTTCCCTGGTGGCCCCGGGGCAGGACTGACCACGAGGAAGCATGTAGCGACCTGGTTGATCTGCGTGGCACCCATGGCCCTCGCGGCCTGGACAGCCGAGTTCTGCAGGGTCACGGGTGGAATGGTGGGTGGTGGCGGTGTGGAGCCAGGAATCCCACCCCACACTGCGCCGCGGTGCCGCTCCAGGCAACAAGTTCAAGGGGAGGTTTTCAAGGTGAGCCCAGCCGCCGGACAGCCAGTGCTTCCACGCACCTAAGTCACCTCCTGCCTGTCCACGCAGGGCTCGGGCCCCCTCAGGCAGCTCGAGAGCAGAGTGTCAGAGCGAGGACCTGGCGTCTCATGGCTTGGGGCAGTGAGCTGGCAGGTGGGCCTGCTGGCCAGGGCAGGAGGCAGGCAGATCTGGAAATGAAGTGGCAACAATTTATGGAAAGATGAATGCCTAGATTGAAGTCTGGAGGGCAGGGGACGGCACGAGACACACAGATGGACAGACACCTGCCTGCACCCATTGGCGAGGCTGAGCTTCAGGGACCGAGAGGGCTCTGGGCAGGTCAGGCTTGACGCAGGGACCCAGGACCATAGGAACGACAGACATAACAGACTGAATAATAAGCGCTGCTTCAGCAAATAGAAAGCCTGAGGAACACGGGCAGGAGAGGGCCAGTGAGCCGGCCAACGTGGGCGTGGGCACAAGACGAGCAGGGCTGCCAGCCAAGGGTCCTGTGGGCTCAGTGCCACCTTGCCTTGTCCCTGCAGGGCTTGAAGACCGGCTCCTTCTTCTACCCTGGTGGGAACATCACCTACCAAGGGACCGCGGTGACGCTGAGTCGGAAGGAGGGCATCCTACACAACTACAAAGACGAGAAGGAGTGGAGGGCCAACATCGACACCGTGATGCGCTGGTTCACAGAGGAGGACCTGGCTCTGGTCACTCTCTACTTCGGGGAGCCGGACTCCACAGGCCACAAGTACGGCCCAGAGTCCCCGCAGAGGAAGGAGATGGTGAGGCAGGTGGACAGGACCGTGGGCTACCTCCGGGACAGCATCGAGCGCCACAGCCTCACCAGCAGCCTCGACCTGATCGTCACGTCTGACCACGGCATGACGACCGTCAACAAGACAGCCAGCGACCTGGTGGAGTTCCACAAGTTCCCCAACTTCACCTTCCGGGACATCGAGTTCGAGCTCCTGGACTACGGGCCGAACGGCATGCTGATCCCCAAGGAGGGGAGGCTGGAGAAGGTGTACGACGTGCTGAAGGACGCCCATCCCCGGCTGCACGTCTACAAGAAGGAGCAGTTCCCCAAATCCTTCCACTACGCCAACCACCCCAGGATCGCCCCGCTGGTCATGTACAGCGACCCCGGCTACGTCATCCATGGGGTGAGCTCCTGCTGGGGGCACCACTCACCGGCGGGCGGCTCCCCGAGGGCCAGGAGAGCCCCGTCTCTAGCTAGTCCCCAGCGTGGGCACACACCCTTCAGTGTGCACTGGGAACAGGAGTGCAGGTGCACCTGGGCGTGGGAAGCCCAGCCACGGGGGAGAACGGGCACAGAGCCAAGGGCACCTGAAGGGGAGCAGAGAGTGGAGCAGGGAGAGGCAGACCCAGGGGAGGTGGCCGCTGAGCACACATCCCCAACTCCCTTGAAGGAGGCCCAGCCCAGCCCCACGCTGGAAGCCCAGCCCCTTCCAGTTACCTCCCCGGCTCCAGGCCAAGGCCGTGTCTTTGGCCGATCTTCATGGTCTCAGAATTCAGAGGAGCCCAGTCTCAGAATCCCTCCATCCCCAAGTTGGTACCCCTCCCAAGGCCATCTGCCCACCTGGGCGCCAACCCCCAGGGGATGCCGAGAGGGCGAGAGGGCCCCATGGTGCTGGGGCTCCCGGCAAGGACTGGACACCCCACCCCTCCCTGCAGAGAATCAACGTCCAGTTCAACAACGGGGAGCACGGCTTCGACAACCAGGACCTGGACATGAAGACCATCTTCCGGGCCGTGGGCCCCAGCTTCCAGGAGGGCCTGGAGGTGGCGCCCTTTGAGAGTGTGCACGTGTACGAGCTCATGTGCCAGCTACTGGGCATCGTGCCCGAACCCAACGACGGGGACCCCGACATCCTGAAGCCCATGCTGCGCCCGAGCGAGGGACGGCCACCCTCCCCCACCCCGTCCACAGACGGGCACACAGGTAGGCAGCACACCCTTTGACCTGGCCACCCGACACACCCCTGGGAGTGGCCAGGGAGGAAGTTTGGGGGCTCTTGGGGACAGCTGGAAGCCCCTGGTCCTCGGTGGAGGACCTGGGCTGAAATGTGATCCCTCCTCTCTCCCCAGAACTGCCCTCAGGGTCTGCTCTCCTGCCAAAGGGGTGGCCTCCATTGATGTCAGCACTGCTGGGCACCCTGGCTCTTCTGGCCAAGGTCACATAACACCCCACCATGCAAGGCCGGAGGCTGGAAGGAAGAGGGAGGACGTGGCCAGGCTCCCTGCTCCCCACCCCCACCCCTCCGTGCACCTAGGCAGCCGGCCCCGGGCTCTGACCCTGCCCAGCTGGTGACCACCAGCTTGCACCAAGAGGGAAGACTCTGTGGGACCCTGAGAGGCCCTTCAGCTGCTGGCTTCAGGCTGGAGGACATCACAGAGCGGACGGCCAGGAACCCAGGCATCCCCACCCTCCCTCAGAAGCTGACCTCCTGGTCCTTCCCAGAGCGGCCGTCCCTCCGCCTGCCCCGGGCCCTGGGCCCCTCAGACAAGATCCACCACTCAGAACAGAGCAGAGTGAGCTCTGTCAGGAGAGGAGCTGCCGGGCCAGGTTCCCAGAACGCCCCAGCAGCCAGCCTGCTCCAGGACATCCCCATGTGCCAGCGACAGGCCACCCCGGGCCTCTGTTCCATGCAGTCACGGCCCTTGGTCAGACAGAATAAAGCCACACACACTGAAGTCTGAAGTTTGCGGCAGGGGCTGGAGGGGGAACCGTACTCAGGCAGCTCATGGTGACGGGGAGGGGGACAGGACTGACCCCAGGCAGTGGGGGTGACGTTTTAAGCTGGAGGGTGGCCAGGAAGAGCCAGGAGCAGTAGGCAAGGTTCCCTAAGAAAGGAAGAGCCGAGTGTCTGAGCCCCGGCCAGGTCACCCGGGCGTGGTCCCATGAAGCTGGTCGAGTGGATGCTCCGACCTCGGGGGCAGGAACACAGGAATGGGAGCAGCTGGGGACAGTTAGGAGGGCACCGCTGGGGTCCCAGCAGGGCATCCTGGTGGCAGGGTGGAGAGGACAGACTGGGACGGAAGGTTTTCAGGCTCTTGGAGATAGAATGCCTGAGGGATGAAGATCAAATGCGGGTGGTGACGTTGGGTCCGGCGGCAGGTGGAGCCACTGGAGATGGGGAAATGCTGGGGAGGGGCTGGCGCCTGGACACCTGGGTTCTGTGTTGGTAAAGCAGCTGCAGAGCCTGCACTGGAGCTGGGTGCCCAGTGCGGTTTGGCTGCGGTGTGAACACAGGCTTGTCTACAGGATGATAGGGCTTCAGGCCATGGGACCAGAGAGCAGCCCCTGGCCCCAGAACGCAGATGGAGGAGGGAGTGGCCCACTGAGAGGGTGCAGCCCGTGGCCACGGGGTGGAATTTCCAGGAGGAATCTGGAGATGTTCGCGGTGGGATGTGGGCGGCTGGTGGGTGTCTGGAGACACTTGGCTGAATGTCAGAGCTGGAAGAGACCCTGGAGACCCTTCCACCCAGCCCCTCATACAGATGAGGATGTCGGAGCCCAGACGCTGTGGCTGACCCATGCAAAGGGACAGAGCTGAACAGTTTTCAATCCCTGAAAACTGGTCCTGAGTCCTGTTGGCTACAACATGGGCCCCTCTGTGCGTCTGAGGTTCAGGTCCTGGAAGCGAGCCTGCCGGCACAGAGAGGGCACCGTGGCGTCCCTACAGCATGTCTGCAGAAACTCGCAACCCTTTGTTCTCCCCAAGAACCACGGGGGCCAGCAGACATGAGTACTTCACAAGCAAGGGACAGAAAGGCCAAGGATCTCCAAGCACATCCCCGAGCAGGGCCCCCCAGAGACGCTGGTGTGCTAGCAAGCCCACTCTCCAGAACAAAATCCCTGACTTGTAGCGCCCCCCAACCCCCGTCCTGTGGTGCACATTCTCTCCCTGATGGACCTGAAGCTGGCAGCATGAGGTCCCTGGCGCGGTGCTGGGAGCAGCACCCAGAGCCAGACTCGGGAGCCACGTCTGCAGCAGCGTGGCTGAGAGCTGGCTTCCTGCTCAGCGCCTCCAGCCCAGCTGGTGAGCCCAGTTTGGAGCTCAGGCCACCGTCTTGTGGCCAGTTTCCTTCTCCAAAGCCGTGTCTGGAGTATGTGTCACAGTCGAAAGGAATGTCCCACACAGCCCCCGGCTGTGGCTTGAGAGTGCCCCAGGCCCACACAGAGGAGCTGGCCAAAGGTTGGCCAAAGCAAGCGCTCTCCTCTCTCCTGGGGTCAGCAAGCTCCAGAACCAGGCCCCGGGAAGTGCCCTGGTCCTCCCAGTCCCAGAAGAGGCGCTGCCATCTGTGGCCACACGGGGGCGCACAGGAGCCCTGCAGGGACGGAGCTGCGGCCGGGAAGAGCATGCTGACACTGCCCCTGGAACCCTGGCCACCAGTTCCAGCCCTGAGCCTCCACTGCCATCACCCGGGAGGGCACTGCCCAGCACAAAGAACCCTGGGATAAAGGGACCCATCCCATCACAGTCCCATCCAGGTTGGCAGGTCACAGTCACCAACATGAGGGCACTTTGTTCCCCAGGGCGGCTGGTTTCCGTGCAGCCCAGGAACTGGCCCCGTATGTAATAAACTGCTAATTCCCTAGGACACTGGCAAACAGGAGAAGCAATTCACTCTTGTTGAGGACGGCCCCCCGCTGGACAGCCAGCCGGTCCTGGAGCAAGGGTGGGCTTTCGCTGGGAAGGAAGCGGAATGAGGCGGCTCTTTGTGACCTGACAGGGAAGCAGTGTTGTCTGCAAGCCCTGGCGCTCAGCAAGAACACACAAGGTGGAAACAGCAAATAAGGTCGTGTTGATTTGCTCCAGTACGGGGCCAGCAGCGGAGGACTTTCTCCTGCACATTTTGCATATGAAACCCCTTGAGTGCTATGCATTCAAAACTGTGTTTTGGAAACCAGGCTTTGGAGGAGGACAAATGTGTTCCAGTCCTGATCCCCCAGGAGCTGTGGCACTGGGCATAGCCCATACCTCTCCCATCCCCAATTTCCTCACCCGAAACTTGGGACTCTATAGCATGCCCACCTCCCTGTGCTACCCAAGGATGAGGCTCTCATCTGCAGAAGGCAGCACAGGGCACACGCATGCCCAGGCAGGTGCCCAGTAGAGGGCAGTCAGGGGATGATCACAGCTTTTTGCAGACAGCTGACTTTGCCAAGCAAGTTTGTCCCTCTCAAGAGTAACTCTCCTGTGGCAAGGCCATTCACATTTTTGCAAGTGTGCATTTGTCCAGATTAGCTTACCTCCACCTATGAGCTCCTCCCAGGCCTCAGGCTTGGACCTTTGGCTTCAGCCACAGTCTCCAGGATCCATCCCAGCCTGCACTCCAAGCTGCCTGACCAGCTGCCCAGAGCTGGGTCCTGCCTAGGCCTGAAAGCTCTGCACTTTGGCTTGTGGGCCTCGGACCCCACGTCCAGGAGTCCTCCAGCACGGGCTGCCCTCCCAGGGACAGCATCCTCTCTGCCTGCAGCCACACCCAGGCCCTGCCCAGGCCAGCCTCCCACCCCCACCAGCTCTGGCTGGACTGGGGCTCTGCCTGGATGGGCCCGGCTCCAGTCTTGGCCTTCCTGAGCCTGCCCACCTGGTGAGGAGAGCATGAGAGTCCACATTCACAGCCAAGAAGGGGCGCATACTCACAGGGGCAGGCAAGGCACCACCAACCCCAGAAACCCCCCGGACTCACACTCAAGGTGGCCACACTGGCTCAGCCCCTGAGTCTGCTCTCTTTTTCTTCTTTCTTTTTTTTTTTTAATATTTTTAGTTGTAGATGGACACAATACCTTTATTTTGTGTATTTAGGTTTTGTTTTGTTTGTTTTTTATGTGGTGCTGGGGATGGAACCCATGTCTCATGCGTGCCAGGCCAGCGCTCTACCACTGAGCCACAGCCCTGCCCCTGGAGTCTGCTTTCTGGGGTCTGGGCCAGCAGGGTACGTGGAGACTCCAGAGGAAAGAGGAAAGAGGATGGAGGAAAACCCTCTGTCTGTCCCACTGTCCACAGGACCAGCCTCCCAGGTCAGGACACAGACTACATGCCCGCGGGGGCTGGTTTTCCCATCTCTGCGGCCCTGTATGTGCAATGTGTGTGGAGGCACACTCCAAGCAGCATGTCCGGGGTTCAAGTTCAGTTCCCACCAGCTCCAAAGCTCACCAGCTCCATGGCCCTGGGCAAGTTGCCCGTCTCTCTAGTCTCGGAGCCTCATCTGTTAACTCGGGAACCATGGCAGCACTGTCTCACAGGGTGGCCCCCGTGACAAAATGAGTTAGTCCTCACAAACTGCTCTGGCCCAAGCATTCTGAAAAGACAGACTGACAAATGCTTTTGTATCTAAGAGTGAGAAAGTCCCTTCCCCTTTCAAATTCACCCTGCTGATTCTCCAGCAGAAAGGTTCCAGCAGGTGACCCGCCCACGTCTTTCATGACCCTCCTGTGTGATGAGGACGGAGGCCAAGCTCAGAGCAGTGGGGCCAGAATGAAATGTCACCTGGCTTTATTTGTCATGTATTTGATTTTAAAGATCACCTTCAATTCGGGTTCCTGCTACTGATTTTCTGGCTTTTGTTATTGTTGTTGCTGTTTTAATATGTTCCCTTCAGAATGAAGTAACCTGCATCGATTTTAAAATGTGAAGAAGATATTCTTGAAGAACACAATAAAATTCACCAGTTCTGTATAGAATTTGACAGCAAAATAAAAGATAAATAAAAATAAAGTTAAGTAACAAAGGATGAGTTCATTTAGTTGGCCAGCCAGGAAGTTTCTGGAGGGCAGCGTCGGGCCTCTCTGTGGACACAGATGTGCCGCGTGTCCACTATCATCCCACATGAAGCAGAGTCCAAGGAAACCCAGAGCTGAAACACAGTGACAGTCGGGCATCATCTACTAGTCCCGGGGCTGGCAGTAACGCGGGCTGGTTGTGGCAGGGTGCCCCAGCGGGGACACAGAAAGCCCCCTTTGTCAGGTGGCCCCGCCCCTTTAGAGCGGCTCTGGCGCTGTCACCAGGAGGCGGCGCTCGTGCGCTCCTCAGCGCCTGCCCGAGCTTCCTCCAGCCGCTTCTCCTCCGCTCCCCCGGCCTCTGCAGCGCCCTCAGAGCTGCTGGATCCAGCCCGGGGAGGGGGTCGAGGACCGCTGAGAGTCGGCTCCGGTCTTAGATGGAGCCCCAAGCGAACTGGTAGTTGAGAGAACGAGGACTTCCAGGGCCAGGTCTCTCTGGGGACCCCATGAAGGAAGGGGCAGTGTGGCCCTGTGCTTCCCCCAAAGGCTGCCAACAGCAGCGAGCCTCCCCTCTCAGCCTCCTGTTCCGTCAGACGCGGGGTTGGGGCGCACACCCCTCTGAATCCGCGGGTCGGGGGGCCCGGAGTGTCCACTTCTGACGGGTCTCCAGTCCTGCCGCCGCCTGGGCACCGCGCTCTAGAATCCCTCACTTGATAAAGGTCATGGACGGAGGAGTGAGAACCTCGCCCGACCTCCTGGGGTGAGGCAGGCTACCAAGGGGCCTCACCAGGCGGCTCTGGGTGGCCGTTGGAAGGGGCACAGTCCATTCCGGTGGGACCTGGACAGCCCTCTACCCCGAGGTGCTATTGCTGATACCAACCTAGTTTCCCCACCCTGTCAACTTGGGGTCCCTCGGGTCTTCGCGGGGTGGGGCAGAAGGGACATCTGTATATTCACACTACAGGAC